CATGAATCTGCTTCTCAACATCACAACAAGTCAGAGAGGCCCTGAGTCTTGCAATATTTCAGAGATGGTAAAAAGAGGTTCTACAAGCAGAAGTTATATGGGAATCAAATGACAATGTAGGGTCCAATATAACCCCAAGATTCCTCACACATGATGACGGTGATAACAAATGACCACTTACAGCAAAATTTCAGCTTTATGAATCTGGCCAGAAGTGCTGACAAGAACGACCTCACATTTAGTACTGTCCAATTACAGACAACGTCTAGCCATCCAACTATATATCACCTTTACATATATTCAACTATTCAGCCTACAGAAGTTTAGCCCCACATATTCACGCTGAAGTTACAAAGTGTTTATCAGCCTGGACTTTTTGAATGAAGCACAATACAGAGCAGCCAATCAGAACAGAGGTACATATCAGTCTCAAGGCACAGTAAAAACAACAGCCTGTTTCTAAGGCATAAAGACACATTGGAAAATGGTCATGGAAAGATTATGTTTTTGGTAACTAAAACTAAACAAACCTTTACAAGAATAATGTAGGATGTGGGCCCTTTAAATGACAATCTAACATGTGACCATAGTGTAAACATTATTTCAACAGCTCACACTTTTGTTTTATATAGTGCATTACATATACTGTCTTGTATTTTTGTATGTACCTCCTTTTTTATAAAATATTATGTGTCTTGGGAAGTGTTTTTGTCTTTTTTCTACCCTCCCTGGGACGAGTGGTTGAAAATTAGCCAAGGTGGCTAAACTGGCACATTTGTAGCAATGTTTATTAATGAGAACTGTCCCTGTAAATCTAAACTGAATGAAGTAATGAAGGAATCAACACTGGCTCCCAGTAAGAGCAACAGTACAAAAGTGAGAGTGAGCTTGCTCTAATAGTGGCCTAGTTATTGGAGATTGCTTACAGTCAAGTAGGGCCCATTCTCTGTGTTTAGAACCAACACCTGTGTGTACAATCAGATTGTATCACTCTCTCACACTGCAGTGGCGATGACCTCTGTGTGAGGACACTGACCGACTCCTAGGTAATCATTTACCAGTGGCCTTGAGCAACACTGGTGTGACAGCCATTGTCTCGACAGCTGAAAACATTGGAATCTGGCATCCGGCATAAAGGACTTGAATGACTGTACCCTTAAGCGTGCGCAAAGATATGCAGCTTGCACAATACCCAGTACATCAGCAGGATATTCATTTGCAGTCATTACTGCCTGCGATATTGTCCATGTTGCTTGATTTTGCACAATTAGGCCGAGGCACCGGAGAGCTGTAAATGTGGCTCAGAATCTGAGAACAATCAAGATGCTTAATATTGCCCTGCTTAGCACAACATAATGTTTATATTCTGTTAAGAGTCGACACCATACAGTAACCGTTTGCCGGTTTTACTTCGGCATGCACGGCCCACTTACAACAAAAGGCCACTGTAAAAAAAAAATGTTCATAGTTTTCTGACATGTTTTTCACTGTTTATAAAAGTTCAGGCCAACAAGTCAGTCTGTATGCTAATTGCTTTTTTGGATTTTATCATTTAAAAGAGAAAAAAAAACACAATTTCATTTATCATGGCAACATTTATTTTGCAGTCTTGCGTGCAGCAGGAGATTTGCTGTCAAAGGCCATTCCTAATCCTGAGTAAATTAAGATTGTATGTGTGGGATCATGATGTAGTGTGCTTTTCTGGTCCCAGCAGCAAATCACTGATACCTACACGTCAAAGAGAATTCACATGCCTTAAGCACTGCTGGGGAATCTGAGCTGAACAGAATGTGGAGCTTTCATAGCTTGGAAAACATGATTTCATCAACACCGTCTGCTTTACTTAATGCTGTTGACACAGCTTTGGCTTTTATTGATAATATCTTTTATAAAACTGGACTGTATTTCTTGCTCTTGTCTCACATTAACGCTTTATTTACTGTGGTAGTCAAGATTTACACTGAAATTTTAGATGATATGTTTGTACTAATACAGTTTGCACAGAAAGCTTTGGCCTAACAGCAGGCGCTGGCATGGTCCATGGTGAACATGAACTTGATCCTTAGAGGCCTAGAGCTATTAGTGTCACTGTGCTACACTATATTGTAATTGTATAATTAATTACATAGTTGGTCACGTAATGAATTACATTTTTATTGAAAAGTTTAATTCTTCACTTCTAAAGAACTTCAAGTCACAATAAAATATCTCCTCTTCTTCTTACAAACACAAATGCAGTATCGGCTGAAAGTTTTGCAATTCTTACACAATGTCTCCACTTATTTCAATGAGACACAAGTGGGCAAAGAAAACTAAACTGAGTAGAAGCAGAATTGTTCATGGTGTATATGTCATGGGCTACCAAGGAAGGTTACATTGGACATAGCAAAAAGTACCAGCAAGTGTCTATCTGTAAATCGGGTGATTAGAATATTACTGAGTCTTTTGGGTGTGGCATTGCGGCAAGGCCCTTGGCTGTTAGGGTTGGGTCCTGCTACGAAATCTCTCTCTCTCTCTCCTTCTTTCTGGGTCCCACCCCCTTTGCCACTGCCATCTCCCGGCTTTCCCAGAATGCCCTGTCTGAGAGCACTGGCCTGAAATAAAACTAAGAGGGCCCTCATGGAGAGAATGGGAGCTTTGTCTCAGCTGCCATTTACACTGTCTGGGGGCATAGAAGGAGAACTCAAAGAGAGTGTCTGATTGCAAATTAGCACGGCCCAGGCCTTGCTACCCCCCCACCCTCCACCCCTTCGCACTTTCACTCTGCAGGGGCGAGGTGTGGAGAAAGTTCTGTATTTAAGTAGCATTAATCATAACATCTCCCGGGCTTCATCGATAAACCCTGCATCATTTTGGGCCAGGAGGAAGCAGAATAAGTTTGCAGGGTGCTTTTCCACTCTTCTCTTCCGTCGATGTCTACTTGTCTGCGCTGCCAGGGCTTGCTTAATATGCAAGCGATGTTGTGTCTGAATCTGTGATTTGTTAAAGACAAAAGATGGCCTCCGAGTGCTGCAGCCCAGACTGCTTGACACCAGGGCCCTCCCTGAAACGCTTTCTGCCAGTGATTGACACGCGTCATAAGAGAGGGTGCAATTTGTTAGGTGCAGGCGTTTTACAGATTGAGACATTATGTGCCATTAAGAAGGCACTGAAGAAATGTGGTCATATGACTTGAATTGCTTATTGAGGCCTGATCATTTAAAGTCAATAAGCAATCTGGAAACAGTGCTAATAAATAATTAAAAGAAGGCATCATTTTAGTATGATATTAAAAAACAGGTACTTGCGTATCACAAATATATTCCCCTTTTGATACTTTTTGTCCTTTTTTTCTTCTTCTTCACTTTTTTTTGGAGAAAAGTGGAATTAAGCAAGGTTCATGTTACACTTTAGGCAATCATGAGCATTGGGTTATATGAACCTGATAACCCTCTCTATAATCCCTGTGCTCTCAACTCCATTGATCCTGACGTGGCCACTTTGTAGGACACACACACACACACACACACACACACACACACACACACACACAGAGGACATGATTCAGATCTTTAATCTGATTACTTTTGTCTGTATGGGTAGATGCATGGTGCTATGGGATGTATTCCTCTTAAATAGGACATTGTTCAACTAAACAGTCACAAGAACCAAAGAATGAAACAAGTAATTAGAACAGCAGCACCAGGCTAAATCTAATATTTGCTTTTGCATGTTTATCAGTGTGAGGAAAAATATATATGCATGTTATAATTCAGTTTTTTTACATCCACTTTAGAATTTACCCTTACTGACAGTATTGTTTAGACACTGTTACTGTTATTAGTCTCTGTGTAGCAAGATTATTATTCACACTTGTTCATCTCTCCTTAGTGACACATTATGAGCCCTTTGTATAAATACAATTATGCATAAATAATTCAACTTATGCAAAATAAATACAAGAAATGTGGGAAAAAAAGCTCATTTTTAGTGTGCTTATTTTCATCTTTACATTGTTATCATCTTTACAAGACCGTTGCTAATCACAACTATTGTTCATGTCAGCCTTATAATGACATGCTAACACTTATTTTGCAGAAGCTCTATTTGTGCATATATTATTAATTATATCTACTATTCATAATTTCTGAATGTCTTATGTCCTCGGAGAAATGGGCAGATGCACGTTAGCACACGACTTTTGTTAAATACAAAATGTGCATGAATTTAACAGTGTCTCCAAGCATTTGCCTCTAGACCAGTCACTTGTTGCATTCGTAATATTTGCAAGAATTTTTGCACACTGAATTTAGCCTAAGAGACTAACTTAGACCCACATATTAGCAGAACAAAGCTGGCATAAACAGCAGAGGCTAAATGTCCTGAAGGCCGCATGTTAAACTTCTTTGCGTGGAGCTGTCGGGCGGAGCACTTCACTTACTCGAGCAGTGAAGTCTACATACTAAATTAATTGGATGAATTAAAATATCGATTATTAGAATATGCTGAATATCTGACTGCATATTCTGTAAAATAAACGAAGCCTATTACCAAACTCCTTCGCAACAGGGGCAACAGCGATGTCAGTGAATAGAAGTGCCACTGGTACCCATGGGTAGGTTAATATTCCGAGGGGGGAAGGAGTGAACCTCTGGCCTCTCCAGCTAGCTTTAGCTTAATTTGGATGACTCAGATAATTGGTGTTGAGAGTGGGGACAGATGAGGTCAGCACAGATGACTTAAAACAGAGCGTGGAGGTTTTGCTACGGTTTGATGTAGCTAGTTGTTTTTTAATCACATTTTAGTCACTATAAGCTTTTTTATATTTTTTTTTATCTGGAACTTATTTCTCTGAGAGGACAACCACAGGTTCTAGTAAGCGTCACCTTGTTTTGTGGTAATAGCAAATTAGCCTGGTTTCGCGCTTATCCACCCCCCCCCCCCCCCCTTTAATGCCGTTTTTTACTCTTTTAAAAATATATAACCCATCATGGATGACGTTTTAATTATTTTTTGAGGGTTTATGTGTACTGAAAGCAAAATGCTCTAATCAAACAGTCAGCTTTTATGCTAACATACACATACGAGGTCGACCAAATACAAACTCCTCTCAAACTTGAACCTAGCATAAACTCCCTGGCTAATTCGCCGCGAAAGCGATAACGTTAGACGTTAGTCTTTCTGTTTGGGAGGCTTCTTTGTTTGCTCTGAACTTCTTTAACGTGGTTTACTGCTTCTCGTTCTGGGCTTTCCCCCCCTTCTTTTTTTTTCTTGTCAGTTTGAAGGCATATCAAATGGCGACGAACTGTTAACGTCCCCGGGTTAGCCTATTATTTCGACGCGGAGAAGTGTAATCTCATGAACGGAGAGCAGAAATGAGCTGGCCGTAGGGCAAAGCACCCTGATACCTTATCCAGTCCGCCGTAATCTGTGGCAGAAGTTGCCATTGAAACGGAAAGGTAGGCTGCCTGCGGTCTGGGGCTCTTGTGTAACGGTCGCTGTGAATCCCTGTTCACCTCAGTTGAACTTGTGTGATCTAGTTCACTAAAACGGAACGGCGCTGTCACTCCGGGTCTAAGCGGGCGAGCGAAGCTGCCTTCCGAGCAAAAAAAGACCATTTTGAATCGTTCACAGAAATGGCACATAGATTGAAAGACAAAGCCATTTCGACGTTTGGTGGACGGTACGAGGAGATAGCTTCCTCGCTGACAGCGGCGGGTGAAGCGACGGTTAGCCCACGACTACCCCCCTCTCCTCGGTCTCGGTTCGGCTTTGCGAGGCGCTGCTGCGTGCGGTCAACAAAAGTAACCGGGGGACAGGAATTCACCATGAAGAATGACATCTTTTCCACCGCCTGTCGACTGGGGACATATACTTGAACTTCACCTTGAAAAACTGAGAGCTAGCCGTGAACACCGGCTCCGTGGCTAGAGGCTAGTTTTTTTTTGTCATTTTTGTATTTTACACACGGACTCGGAGGCTAGCAAGCTTGCGGAGCGACGTGGCTGTAACCGAAACAGCCGACTGTGACCCACCACTAGGTAAGTTGCTAAGGATGGTAATTAATTTTAAAATTATGTTTCCTAAAAATAAACCGGTCAAAGCTGATTTTTCACGGTTTAAACTCTAAATTATTAACCAAATGTACAGAGACAGATAAGGACACAGCTAAGCGCGGGCATTTAGGCTGTTTTGCAGCTTGTGTTGTGAAGTAACTTCTGACCTCACAGCGCAGTTTAACTTGATGCTTCATACAGAATCTAATTATGAAATCCACACTGTCTTTCATTATGTTAGATTTACATTAAAAATAATAACGCATTTAATTAGGACTGAAGAGAAAGAGGATGATGGCACATCAGCACATCTGCATTGCTGCTGAGGGAAAGGTCATGTTCTCGTGGCCTCTTTTTCTGCACAGCTAATAATGATAGTAATGACTCATAGCTGGTTTTCTATACACTGACTAAAATGTGCTAAAGGCATTAAAGGGCCATACATGCTTAAAATAAATGAGGAGCACAGACTAATGTGCATTTGATTAGTACACTTATATAAAGGATCTGTTTCTTCGGAAATTAGGCTCTTTTCTTTGAGACATTCAATAGTCCAGGCTACAGGCTGCCACAGTATTTTATTACACGCCAAACAGCCTGCACATTTATTTTATCCAGTAAGTCAGGCTGAATTCATTGTGAATTCATCTGGTCTAGTTAATTTTCTGTGCCAAGATTTCAGCTCAGTTTTGGGAGTTAATTTATCCATTAATATTCTTAGAAAGGAGACTGATCAAGGATCGTAGTCAGTTTAATCATTAAGTTGGATTTTGTCATAAGAAAGCTTAAAGTTAGCTTTAGTCCTTAGTACATTAGAACAGCAAGAGTAGGTTTACTGACTATAATTATAATCCTGAAAATAAACTAGCATGTTTGGATTGTAGTGAAGGTGTTGTTGTAGATAAGTTAACATATAGTTGCTGAGAACAGAGCTTATTTTTGAAACTGTGTGTGTGTATGTGTGTGTGTGTATGCGCATGCGTGTGTGTGTGTCTTACAGTGGGGCTTAAAATGGCGAAAACTTGTGCACACAGTCTCTGATTCAGGAAGGTCCTTTTGCCTGTTTGTTGATCAGGTAAGATTTTTCAGATCATTTCCTAACTCAAACACTTGATGGCATTTAATCAAAAGTAACAAGGTGGTATAACGTCTGACCTCTGTGAGGATGAATATTAAAATACTGCACATATTTAGCTGTCCTCACATTTCTGTGAAACTTCATTCGATCAATAAGAGATCAAATACATTGTGCAGGATGATTACAGTAATTTATTGAACAGCCGAGGTGTCAGATAATATGATTGGAAATTAGGCCATGTCAGGTTATTGTCATAAGGGTAACAGTTTTATGGATTTTTACTATGGCAATATAATTCTCATGTCTCTAATTTGTGACCATATGCAAGGAACACAACAATGCTATCAAGAATGAATATATATTTTGTAGTTACTTTAGATTCTGTTTCATTGTTAAGTTTTTTAAAAGAATACTGATATGTTTCGGTTAGCAAGCTATTGTTTGAAGTTTGGACTAATCATTTTAAGAAGGGACCTTAGATAATCCGAAAAAACATGCACATTAGAGCGTGATAATTAATGTTCTCTGCAGATGTGCGGGGTTGCTAGCACACTGCTTCTCTCCTGCTCAGCTTTTTACTGGGTGGCTAAATACGCCTACTTGTTTTTTGAGAGGAATACAAATGACTCTCAACCTACTTTTACAAGAGAACACCTACTTCATCGGAAGCTGATTGATCTTAAGTCATCTGTAAAGTGTGTTTGAAATTTTCTGTCAGCCTCACAGGTGTTCTGGCTAGGTCAGTGGTCTCTCAAGACCTTGGTTGAGTGTAGAAAAGATTATGTGAATATGTGTTATAGTGCTTTTGCAGGCCAAAACTTGAGCACCGAGACAGGGAGACAGAAAAGATAATAGGCTGGGTTTTTCAGTTTGTATTGTACGAAAACAGGAATCCTGTTTGAAAACAGGGTGTATGTTACACTGACATATCCTTTGTTTACAATGCTCTCAATGCAGCAAAGCTAATTAGAGTAAGATTTTTAATTTGTGAGATTTATAGGGATTGTTGAGTTACAATACTGTCATTATGATGTGTTCATTTTTACAGTAGCCAAAATCAAAAACTTTAATTTGACTATGGTTGTCAGGTGGAAGCCTTTCTTAAAGGTGCTTAGGTGTACCTTAAGCATTGCTCTATATGACACTAACAAGAGAGTCTTGCATAAGCACCAAAACAGACAGGCATTCTTTAACCTAACCCCTGCTTTCTGGTGCACCATATAGATTCTGCACTGGCAACTCAGTTATTACCAGTATAATGTACATGCTTTAAACTCTGTGGTAATGTTTGGAATTGTAGAATTATGCTATATATGGTTTTCTAGTGATGAAGAGAGTATATATTAAGACATTTGGTTATCGAATATATGAAGAATGGAATGTGGTCCTCAGGAAAAGGCCTTTCTTTTCTGCAGTGTTTACAGTGAGATTGAATGTTACTTCCTATTCCTGTGCTGTGACAAGCTTTGTGGCCAGCCATGTGACTAACAGCAAGAACAGAGAAACGCAGACTTTTACTTGGTATCATACACATGGTTGCATCTGGTATATGAGGAAGCTGCTGACTTGTTGATAAGAACAGCATTTCCATGCATTTACCCTCCAAGCCTATTCATTGAGCTCTAAAAATGCTGACAGTGTCAGCAATGCAAAACGACTTTTAGAAAGAGTCAGAGCAAAGATGTCATCAGTCCGTTTCAGCAATTGGTTTCCACTTGCTTTAGTCTTGTCACTCAGTGCTCCGCTTTGCTTGCCAAAAATAGCTTTCAGTTTACATCTCCTGTCTATGACAATATCTTAACGGCTCATACACCTCAAAGCTGAGCAAACCTGTGTTAGGACTTTGGGGCAGGCCGATACAAAGCGGCTGGGGCCAGCAAGCATGCAGTACAGCTGGCTGAATTTGTGCTGTGTGTGCACTGGAAGTGTCTTTCCATGACTGGCTGCTGGAGCTCTGACCATGCCAAACTGTCAATCCCACAGGAATGTCTCCCCAAACTCTCTCCGCTGCAGCAACGGATGACAGAAAATTGGCTGGTGTGGTAATGCTGTGCTCTTTCTCTCCTTTTCTCTCTGTTGCTCCCCTGCTTTTTTGCTCTTGGTCTCACTCTTTCCTGTTCCCTTTTTTTTTTTGAACTTCGCCTCTCCAAAGAAAGAGGCCAAGTATGTAATGTGTCAACATGACCTGGCCACAGTGCTGTAATCTGATGATTTCACTTCTACATCTTTTATATGATGTGGCAGTGGTGACCCAGGCTTGCTGCTTATGGCTTAAGGGGACCATACGGAGTAGGACAGTGCTAGCTCAGCAAGCCAAACGGATAAGGCACTCCAGAATGATAGTGTGACACAGAATCCTACATTTACTGTAATCTATCGGGGGGAAAAACATCCTCCAAAACTTGTGCTAGCCTCTTGTTAAACTGGTTTACTTTGGCTAACCCTATAGCTAAAAATCATGCTGTAAACAGAAATAAAGTGAGGTTGACATCTTGCCCCACCTGAAGCATTCATGCACTCAAGTATGTGTGCGCGCTGGTCTTCAGAGTGTGACGGGTATATTGGAAGAGTGGTCTGTAATGGCAGCTAAGGTTTGGGCTCCGTCCCGGGCCTGCAGTCTGTCGCCAGGCTGGGACTGGCGCTGAAGAGGTGCGCAGATGTGTGCATGAGCAGGCCCGCGGCCATAGGAGGAATGCGTCCGTGCTGATGGGGCGATGTGTGTGACGGCAGCCGTGGGCATTACAGGGCATTACAGGACAGGGAGCTGTGAATAAGCCGCTCAGATCCAGAGTGCAGCAGAGGACAGCCGGTGTGACACACATTCCCCCTTGTATTTGAGCTGCGGTTTACCCATGACACATAAAGACATCACATCACATATTGTGTTTGTGTGTGTGCAGAGGATTTTTTATGTGTGTGTGTGTGTGTGTGCTGCATATGCATTTGTTTGTTTGAGCAAGAGAGAGAGAGAACAAACTTGTTTCTGAGCGAGGAGCTCTTAAGTGCTTGACCTAATTTCGCAGTCAGTGAAGAATTCAGCAGTGAAGGCCTTCCTCTGTGAGTGTGAGTTTGCTGCGCTGGGTGTTTCCTCCCAGGGTCTAACAGGAAGCTCATGTTCGAGTTCATCTGAGGACAGGGAGAAGGCTTTTCTTTCCACTGTGGATCTTTTTAGAGAGGGGGAAAAAAGGTCTGGGCCCCAGCTCTGAATCGCCCCTCTGCAATCTGGCATGTGTTTTAGCTCCCTATACTGCTTTATTGTCTATTTTGGCTGAACTTGCAGTTTTTTCACGCTGCCAAGAAAACATCTATTTTTTAGGCTACAGTGTGTACCCGAGGTCCAGAGTCAAAAAGAAAGTTCACGAATCCTGTTAGAAGGTTGAGCTCTCTCCTTCCGGTTCCATTCTACATTCCAAACTGGCCGTGTTTTACGACTTAAGCAGATAAAATGACGAATAATAGTGCTGTACAGAAAGTAGCGAATACCCTACACAAATACTAATGCTGTTCTGACTCACCATTTCTAAACTACTTTGTAAAGCTCAGCATACAAATCATTTTTTGGTGTGGTGCTGCACAAATATTGCAGAGAAATCAAACATTCGGTGATGACTCAGGACATTAAAAGAATAAAAAGAATAGGGTTTTTCATTCTAATCTCCATCTGCTGCATCTGAAGAATATTGTTGATTACTACAGACCATACTTTTGACATGTCTTACAGTGCTTAGAAAACTTTTTTTTTTTACTGAAAACACACTGGCAGTTGCTTCAAAATGCTTTTATTATAAGTGTCATATAAAGCAAAATGCTTCTAATATAAGTGTGTCTAGAGTCAACGCCTTTCTGATCTTTTACTAAATATAGAGAAGCACGTTGAAATTATTGCTCTTGGTAATCGACCGTATGCTACAGATGCAGCAGATAGAGATTAGATTGACATGTGCTAGAGCATTCCTTTAAAGTACAAAGAAAATCCCATTTAATTATGAACGTTAAGCTATTTGTGGCTGAAATGTTTCAGGTCTTTGGCCAAATGATGCACAGTATTCCTAACAGTCTTGATTTATCTTTCACAGACAGAAGAAGAATTTTGGAGATGAGTGGAGAGTCTCATGCTTGGCACGATGATGCAGGTGAGACGAAACAGAAGAATAACAGCAATCAGTAAAAGAAAGTAACAGAAAATGAAACATTATTGTAAACACTGAGAATGGCAAAATCTAGGACACTGTGCCTCATCTCTGGAACATTTTTCTGTGTGCGGAAGTACTGGAAAATTATGAAAATCAGATTTTAAGTCTCTCGCTGGATCTGCCTGACAGAAATTAAAGGCAGACTCAGGATGAAATGCTCACAATATCCCATTTGATTGAAGATGATTGTTGCAGCATGGCTAACGTTATAGCCATGCTGATCGAGATGCAATTTGTCTTACTTCTCAATTTGTGTACTAATATATTAAAAAAGTATGTACTGTGCATCGCAAAAGTCAGAGACTACCCTTCATTTATTTCATTTGCAGTCAAAATGGCTAGTGAGTACAAGTTATTAATTTTTCAGTATCAGGAAAAAAGCAGAAAACATATAGTTAACAGAAAATTACTCAGAAACCTGAACAACTAAATATAATATATGTGTTTCAATAATTAGTGTGTACAGGCTTTACCATTATTACAGCTTCCATTCTTCAGGAGATCTGCTTTCAGTTTTTCAAAGAAATCTGCAGGGATATTTTTTTACGCCTCCAAAGTTCAGTCTTATTTTCTGCTTCTCACAATCCAAGTAATCCGAGACATATTCAGTGATGTTAAGGTCTGGGCTCTGGGTTGGCCAGTCCGTTTATTTGATAACATCAGCAGCTTCTTTGATTTGCAAATTTTCCTTTTGTCAGTAATGTCTTTTTGTCTTTATATCATTTCAGACCAGTTTGAATAGCATTGAGTTGTCTTCTCATGGTGGGTTTTTTTCAGATCTGAAGCAAGAGTAGAGCTTGATCTTATCTCTGATGACTGCACTTATCTGATGGTGACAGTTTTGGTGCTCTAGGAGGTCTTGCATGGTTGTTAGGAGTCCCATTTTCTCTGTATCATTTAATCATATGCTCCAGCTTCAGTTTTTCTAACTAAATCTTTTTAACTCCACTTATTTTTCTTTGACATTCTTCTTCTTCATGCAAGTGGATTGTTTTATATTTAATCTCCTCAAAAATTCCTTATAAATGAATAACCTGTACTTAATGGCCGTTTTGACTGGTAATTAGCTTAATGTAATGTGGTCTCTGACTTTTGCTCAGTACTGAATGTGAATATGTTTCATTTTTCTCTAATCATTTGGCATCTCTATTAAGTTTGTGTATATCACTTCCATTCAGTTTACATAACGGGAAACAGAACATTTTGCCTTTGTGATTTCTCATTGTTGCAGAACAACTAGGTCCAGCTCATGCTTATGTCTATTTGCTTAGATTCACTTCTCATAAACTTTTTTTTTAAAATAGCCAAGAAATCTTTTCTGAGATACTTTACATTTCTGGTAACATTTTTTAAAACCTTCTTCAGAGCTCTTTTCCACAGAACTATCAGTGTGGTCCTTCCTATAATGTACATGCAACTAAAAACCAAAATGAATTTCAAACTGGAGAGCAGCACTTTTTTGGCTACATTTATCATGAGTGGAAGGAAGCAGAAAAAGAAGAAGAGCATGAATGGTGTTGGCCAAACAGGTGGAGCCTGTGATGTACTCTTTTAGATCTCTCTATTATCTCACTGTCTCTTTCACGCAGCCTGACCATCTTTCCTCATCTCCCTCGCTCCCCTCATGCAGTGTAAGTGTCTCTCAGGTCATGTGCCATTTGCAGGTGTCTCCCAGATGTTGCTCTGCTCCATGTGATCCCTCTCGGGGTTCAGTCTCCTGTTAGCAGATAGAGGCATAGAGGTCCTATCTACGGCAGGCAGAGGCCAAATAACAGAACTGGCTGTAATGTAAGGAGAAAAGGAGGTGTTTTCTCATAGGGACAGCTCTAGCACAGCTGCAGACCCTTTGGTTAAATAAGAGATACTTTAAGCTGGTTATTTGAAGCCAATGCCGCGTTAAGAGATACGCGGTCCAGACTGTTTTTTCAATTGACTGTTATGTGGCAGAGTGTAATATAGTTATTACAGTGCTTAATACTTCTGTAGAGCAGGGAAGTGAACTGCCTTGTAAAATACTGTGCTACATTGGCCTTGAGGTTTCTCACTAGCTCCTTTTTCACTGGATCAGCAGCCGCTCAATCAGTTGATATATCTACAGTATGGAGGATTCGGGAAAGAAGGGAAGAAACAACTAAAAAAAAAGATGAGAATAGCATAAAATATATCACAAACTGGACTGTCTTTGACTTATATTACTCTGTGGTGTGCACTCCATCAGCTTAACATAAGCTTGTGGCCGATAATTCATTCTGTTTGAATGACATCATTTGACCCTTATCGCCCTGTGTTAGTCTCCTGCCCATAAATTCCACTGACCCGGAGCACTCTGACTCAGTGACTTGATAAGCTCTAGAGGTTTTCCAGCCCCACAATAAAGAGTTCAGTTTTTCAGCACCCCAGTCAGATGTAATGCATGCGGCTATTCCTATTGTTATTCATAGAGGAGGGTCTACCGCACACGCCATTTACAGAATACACTGACACAAATGACCATCCGATAAATCCTTTGAAAAGTTGAAAATGTAGCTTGTTCATTTTAGGAGTACATGTTGTGTCTTAATAACGTTAATTTGTTCTGATTAGAGGGGATTTTATATACTGACAGTATGTCTATTGTAAATAATATCATTATATAATACATGTTAAGTTTTATATAGAAGTGTTTTTCAAGATACACTATCAAAGTCGTTACGATTTAGAGATGTTATTGTCTGTTTATGCCTATAAAGATATTTGCAGCTTTTTATATATGCACTGATTTTGTTCAGAGTAATTTAAATCAAATAGATTATTGAATTAAATACTTAGTCTCTATTTATTGCACTCCAGTGCTAAATTTAAATTTTATAAGAGTTAGAAGAACTCCTTCTGGATAGCTAGAAGTTAGATTTTGTAAGTGCTTTAAAGAACGTGAGTGCGATGTACTTTTCCATACAAAACAGTTCAGTATTAGTTATTCCGTATTTTCATAGCAATTTAACTATGTAATCTTTAAGCTACAAAGTCGTATATTTTTCCACAGGAATAAGCAGTACTTTTATTTCTTGAAAGAATTCCACAAACCAGGTGAGGGATTAATAAGTATACCAACATTTCACTAGTACACTAAAATGAAACTTGCGTTACATTTTTAGCTTTTTAAATTGAGCATGAGGAACGCACTAGATTGCACCCACGGATTGCAAAGCATAGTGTTTGTTTGCGTTTTTTTGGTAATGGATTTACAGTAGTGTTGGTCTGCAGGGCCAGGCCGTATGATGGAGCTGGCTGTTCCAGCCTGGGCCTCTGAGCCTGCAGACTGGGACTGCTCCGTGGGTCGGCCACTGCTGCATTGTTGGCAGGGGCTCATTTGAATAGCTCTTTAGTAGTTTGTGTGAGCAAGTCAGCGCCATTTGCATTTGTTCCAGTCACAAAGGTTTACAGGTCAATAGAGACAGGCTCAAGAAGAACTAACGTGCAGAGGAACCCTCTCTTCTTTCTTTTCGCCACTTCGTCTCTGAGCCCTCTTCTTTTTTGGCTCCGGCTTGGTTGTCATGAAAAAACACTCTTCTCATCACTGCATGTGTGTTCACGCGTGCGTGCACGTTCAAGCATGTGTGAGTGTTTACGTGCGTTTGTGCCTGAACACCTCAGATGTCTGGAGAGTGATTTACTCCCTGTTGGGGATAAGATGCTCGAAAGGGGGCCCTGGTAACCCTCAGCCAATACGGAGAATAATTTGATTATCACACCTCAGCATGCCTATTAAGGCGGTTCATGTGTGCACATGTATGTGTGTTTGTATGTCTGCATTGAGAGACAGTGAAAGAGAAGGAGAGAAAGAGGGAGCATACCTGATTAAGTGGGACCCTATTCAGAAGTGTTTATGTGTGCTTTGAATGGCTGCAGTGCTGACACACAGCTTCTCAGACACGCAGACGTAGACACAACCTGAAGATTCAGGTCCTTGTAATTAATCCCACTGTGAGCACTGTCCCACTCCATGGAGCTTTCACTGTGTGCCCTCCATATGTCCTTTTTCGTGGCTTTGCTTTGCTGTAATTTCCCACACATGCTTGCAAGCGATCATTTACCTAAAATCAGGCAGTCTGCTTAAAGATTATTTGTTTATACCATTAGAAGGACACTGATTTATCAGTTTATGTGGTAGCCCCTGATGATATTCAATATTGCTCAGCAATATTTTTTTATTTGCTGTGGAAATTAAGTCTTTCTTTTTTATCTTTAAGAAATTGTATTTGCTTGCACAGGTGCCACAGATAAATATGCCAGTGGACAATTTTGTACAGCTTTATCAGAAGAATTAAGCAGTTTTCCTTCGTCCCTTTACTGAAAATGCTTGCATACAGCCTGACTATATGTTTTGCCTGGCACTTTTATATATGTGTGTGTGTTTAGCACGGCCACGGGAAGGCAGTGTGTGTCCCTATGTTGCTCCAGTCCCCTGTGGCTGTCGCGGTCCTGCTCTCTCAGGGCCAGACGTGTGAAACCCAGCACAAAGGGGGGCTCCTTTATCTGCATGCATACTACATAAAGGCTGCTTTTGTTACGGCCTGCATGCTCATGACTGTTGGCATCTATAGCGCTCCATAGTCACCCTTCCCCCCGAGCCGCACCACAGCATATAGTGCTGTGGGCTGGGGACACTGGAACCTGGAACAGCGAGAGACAATGAAGTTCAGATTGTGCCAGCTGTCACCCATTAGTATGACTTACCAGCAAAAAAAGACAAGTGAGTTTAAAAAAGTACTAACTTCTGCGCATACCTGTTTACATATATATGTACAGTACTGTGGAAAAGTTCTAGGCACCTTATTTATCTGGGTGTTTGTGCTTGTAAAAACACCATGTATCATTAGATTAGATGAAAATAAACATAAATACAGTAAAAAGTAACATGAATGTCTGTTTTTCCAAAACGTAGTTGATATCTTGAGCTA